GGCTGCAGCGCACGAGCGATCTGAGCTGTTTCGCCGTGGGGTTTCCATGCTGCGTTCGGTGCTGATGGAGGACACGAGACAGCTGCCCAGGCGCAGAAGGGCACCTACAGGGACAATGCTTGGACGCAGAATGGCTCAAAGATTTCAGCAAATCGCCATCCGGAAAGCTAGAACTAATTTCCAGGACAGCCCATGGAAGCGAAGTTGTGAAGGCAGAGCTTGACACAACGGAAGACACCTACAGTGACCTTGCTGCTTGCCCTGGCTCCACAGATAACGTGCTCACGGCACAGTCATGGTGAAGAAATCACCGATTTAAGGGAAAACTGATTAAGGTCTCATAACTAGCGCTTGGCCAGAAGTTCTCAAAGAATGTTCCATGAATCCCCGGGGGTCTGTGAGGTCATAACCATTTTGATAACCGTCCTCAGGTAGGCTCTGCCCTTTTACCAGGGCTGACATTTGCCCCGCGCTGCGAACGCGAGGGCATATGCACCGAGCGCCCCCCACGCGAACCAGGGCGGGGGCACCGAATGGTAGGACGAGGCATTGGATTCTGCAGTCGAAAGAGAACGCCAGTTGCCCTCAATGTCCTAGATGGTGGGCAGAACCTGGAGACGGTTGTGAGCATTCCCGCCCCGCTCCCCACCCCATACCAGTGTGCACGGCCTGTGTAGTCCCAGCCCCAGGAGTGCGGGAGGATCCACTGTCATTCCCAAGATCAGGCAGCAGCGAAGGGATTCCCGCAGCTCTAAATCGGATGCGAGTCAGCAGGACTGAGTCCCTCGAAAGGGACAGCGTTCCGCGGGATTCTCACACCACCGGGCTCTAAGCCTGAGCTTCCCCGTGCGGACGCTAAACGGAGGCGGCGCGCCTTCTCGCGCAGACCCCGAAGCGATGGCCACGAGCTCTACAGCCACACAGAAGTGAATTCTGCCAACAGAACCGAGCTTGCCACTAGGTCACCTCGCACGGGAAAAGGGACCATGCAGATACGACGAAGCTAAAGACCTCGAGATGAAAAGATTATCCTGGAACGTCCAGGCAGGCCCAAGGTAATTATAAGGGGGAAGAGACAGGCAGGAGAGTGGGAGGAGGAGAGGTGAGGAGGGAAGCAGGGGTGAGAGTGAGGGAGAAACTGGAAGAGGCTACTTTGCTGGCTCTGAGGATGGGGAAGGGGCCGCTAGCCGAGGCAGGAAAGGGCACGGAAGCAGATTTCTCCCCAGAGCCTCCCGCAGGAACGCAGCTCTGTCAGGACCTTTCATTTTGGTCCAGCAAAACCCAAATCCTATTTCTGACCCCCAGGACCCGTAACGTGATGGATCTGGGCTGTTTTAAAGCCCGCACACCGCTGTCATTTGCTCCAGCAGTGAAAAGAAACTGTAGATTTCGGTAGTAGGGTTAAGGCACTGCTGTAATAAAGACCTAGACACGGAACAGACAACGGCTGGAAGGACTTACGCGCAGCCTGACGGGAAATGCCGGGACTGCCTCGAACAGCCGGTGAGCAGAAATACGAATGTTAACAGCTAGTGCCAGCTATCGAGGACTCGGGAAGACGTCAAGAACGTGGTGGAGAAAACCCAGAGCATACCAGGGAGTCCTTAAAGCATCGCGAAGTCTGTGGATGGGAACAGGGATGTTAAGGACTTTGCCAGGGAGCACTCCTATGGAGGTGAGGAGCGCGCTACAAGCAGAACTTGTAAATAATGAATTTGGACAGGCCAGCTGAGGAGATTTCCAAAAAAAAAAAAAAAAAAGCGTTAAGGGTTTGGCCTCCTTTCCTCCTACTGCCCGTAGTCAAATGCAAGAGGAAAGACAAGACTGAAGGCAGAACTCCCCAGCATACAGCAAGCAGCACTGGAGGGGCTGGGAAAGTTCTATCCTAACCTGACTGCAAAAAGTGCTATAAAATTCACTGCCAAGAGAGCACACTCTGAAGAAAAAGCCAACGGCATGGCTGGCCAACCTTTTATTAGGGCCTTGGAGGGCTCAGAAGGTCAGAGTTTTAGTCACACACAAGGCTCTTTGAAGAGATTATACATATCAGGCGCCTCACTGGAAAGATCTATCTCTTGTCCAAAGGAGCAATCTCTGTGACACACACAGGAAATCTGCAAGGTTCTGGAGCATTTACAGCAGCAGGAACACTGGCGGCTTGGAAGTAAGAGGGACAAACAGAGAACAAAATCAAAGAAGGTTGTTAGCCTCCCAAAATGCTATAGGCAGAAACTAGGCCGACAGAACAACTCGCTGGAAACCTGTGCTATTTTTCGTGAAAAGGGAAGGACGATGCCGAGGACGGAGCTGCGAGCCCGGAGTGCACAGCTGTGAACCACCGCACATGTCCCCAGGCCTGGAACCTCATGCACTTCGCCCAGCTGGATTTCAAAATTGCTGGAAACTGGTAAAATTCTCATGCCTTACATTTTCTCCCTTTTTTCAAGATTTGGCAATTTATCTGAGAGAGTGCATGCGAGCGAGTGGGGGAGACTGCCTCATTCCCTCACTTTTGTAAATGGAGTATCTGTAACTGCTGTTTCCCACCCCTCTACTGTATCTGGGGGATCAACAACTTGTTTCTGGAGTTTCACAGGTGTATATACGGAGGACTGCAGGCCTTACCTACACCTGATTTAGATCATTTAGGTGATAAGATTGGGGACATTTGTGCTGATTAAATTAAGATTTTGGAATCTGAGTTGATGATGTAACCGAGCTGAAACTTTTGAAGCAGCTGAGACAGACTGAATGTCTTTTGCACGTGGGAGGGATAGAGTATTTGTGAGCCAGAGGGCAGACGTGGTAGAAACGCAACGCTCCCCATACAAAGACGGAAGTGTCCTAATTCTAAGAACCTGAGAATACATTACCTCAAACAGGGCAAAAGGTTTTACATGTTTTTTAAAGAATACTGAGATGGGGAGACTATCCGGGGTTATCTGGATGGGTTCAATGCGATCACAAGGGTCTTTGAGACAGAGAGTGTGTGTATGAGTCAGGGATGCTGGGGTGGCTCAGCCAGTCAATCATCTGCCTTTGGCTCAAGTCATGATCTCAGGGTCCTGGGATTGAGCCCCAGGTCAGGCTCCCTGCTCCCCGGGGAGTCTGCTTCTCTCTCCGCCTGCCACTCCCCACCCCCTGCTCATGCAAACACTCTCTCTCTCTGACCAATAAATAAATAAAATATTTTAAAAGAGAGAGAAAGACCTGAAAATGCTATACTACACTGCTGGCTCTGAAGATGGAGAGAAAGGACCATGAGCCAAAAAGCAAGGAAACCAACAGGAGGGACACAGCTATGCTGACACTGACTTTAGCTCAATGAGAGCCATTTCAGATTTCTGACCTCAAGGAATATAAAACACAGGTGTTGGTTAAGTGACCGACTTTGTGGTAATTCATTACAGCAGCCACAGAAAACGAACCCAGCCTCAGATCTCACATGAGACCCCAGACCCGGCAGACAGCCCACCTGCAGCTCTGCAGAAAACACTGAGTGGAGGACCCCGCTAGACAGAACCCAAACTCCTGACCCGGGGTGGGTGTGTACGAGAACACACCGGAATCACTCTAACGCGTGACAAAACTGTGTACGCCTCAACACACATGCAAGGACGGATAAACCTTGGGAGTTGGAACGAGTGTATCAATCAACGGTTGTGATACTGCAGTACAATTTGCAACACGCTACCACTGGAAAAAACTGCGTGAACAACCTATAACAACGTATAGGTGTGAATCCAGAAGGAGGCGTGAGAATCCGGCTCTTCCACCAAGATGTCCTAGAAATTCTCTAAAGGTACACAAAAGTCTTGTCACTTAATTGTTTTTGTCTTTGCCAAGCAGTTATCATAAAAAATATGTTGTTTGTTAACAGATATGACATTTTATTATTGTTCATTTTAAATAAATAAATATTTTAAGATTTGTTTTGTTTTACATTCGAAGATGAGAAATACTGCTAGACATGACCCACGAAAACAAAAGCCCTCGCGATCCTCAACGATGCTGGGAGTCCTGAGACCAAAACGTTTGAGAACTACTATTTTAGGGTTCTGTGCCTCGAAGCACCCTGAGTCCTAGGGGAACGCTGCGGGCTGTTGTAGTTAATGAACAACTACAAGGTCCGGGGAGCCGCCGTGCTGGCCAGTGCTGCCAACCGGCTCCGACTTACCTCCTCCCCCCGTGCTCGGTTTCCTGCGGCCGTCGTGTGGGTCGTCCAAAGCATCAGCCAAGTCAAATGCACTACCTTCGGTGAGCATCAAAACACAAAGGAAACAGCCAACTGATTAACGACTGGGTACAAGAGTCTGAAAAATGCAAAACACTCCTGGGTGCAACTGATCGACACAATCGGTGAGTTCAGACAAAGAAGCTTAAGTTGGGTTCCCACTCCCACAGACACTGGTAATGAAAATACCAACAGATGAATCGAGTTGCTGCTCTCAGTCTCTGCACTGTATTACCATTTTCTCAACTAATTTATATCTCTGTGTATGCTTGGCTTATGCCAGCAAACAGACCATTTTAATTGTCTACTCACTGATTACACGTATTGACCCAAGATTCAAAACCAAGTGCAGAGTCCACAGACCAGACAAACACAGAGGCCGCATGGTCACAAAGAAGCCCTTCGAGGGTGGAAATGTGAAGACAGGAGAGCAAACCACAGAGCAGGGGTAACTCTCTCTTCGGTCATGACTGTCTCTCCAGAAGAATGGTAGCCATCCACTTCCAGAAACACAGTAGCATGCTCAGAAAGTACTAGTATCAAGTTCCCAGATGGGAGCAATGACTGTGTCCCCCACCCCAAGGCAAGGTTTACTTTTTTGTTTTGTTTTGTCCATATCAGTGAGGATGTCTGAATAGTAAAGTGGCCCATCTGGAGAAAGCTGAAACAACTCCAAGAAAAGTCACGAAGAAGCACCAGGTTCCAAAATCCTTCACTGAAAGAGGACGCCAGAATATAAATGTTCTCCTCAGAGGGGCCATATTACCTGCAGGCTTTGGCGGAGCTCTGGTTGTTCCTGGCCTCTTGGTTGTGGTGCCATGGTCCCATCGTGCTAAAATGGGGAAGGGGGACAGCATGGGAACACATTTAGTAACAAAATACAGCAGCCACTTCACGGCTCAGGGATGTCACATCAGAACTATGGTGCCCTTGTCTTAGTCCTTGAGGCCCCTCTAAGGCCTCTGACAACCCCTGTGAGGATGACAGTGGAATGTACAAGGTCTAAATGAGAGACCGGTTCCATTCACTTTCCTTCAGAGGACTGGTGGTAAGGCAGACACGGTCCCACAAGGGACCTGAAGGTTAATGGGGCGAGGTGTTCAGCCTCGATCTGCTGGATAGGACGGACCCCATGGCCTGGGGGGTTCCAGAGCTTGGGCACGACCCGTGGGAGCTTCAGGCCTTGGTTTCCACCACTATCAACCTGGCACCATAACCATAAATAACAGTGCCCAGGGATGGACTGAGATTATGTTCCCAGGAGAGTGTGGGAGTGTCTTATGAACTGAAAGTAGTATAATACCGACGAAATAGTTCATATAAGCATGGTTATTACTCCGTACTATTGGGTTTTTCAGCGTAACCGGACTCCTCTAAAAATACAGACTTCTTTCACTCCTATCATACAGTATACTATGTAATAGTTTTCTAATAGTTTCTTTCCTTAGACATCAAGACTTCTGTGTAACTGTTCCTACTATTAGAAGTAGTAAAGGAAATTTAAGAGCAAAGGTAGAAAATGGTTGAAAGTAAAAAGACGGGTAAAAGTATGATAGCAACTGTGAGAGAGGCGGAGGAGCTAAGGCACTACCAGATAAAACACACGTCAAGAAAAACACAGTTACAAGAGTCAAAGAATGACAGTTTGTAATCATGAAAAGATAAATGCAGCAGGAAGATAAAATTTTAAATGTATACGCACCCAGCAACCAAGCCCCAAAATACAGGCAGCAAAAAAAAAAAAAAAAAAAAAGGCAAAAATCAAAGAATAGGTAATTTGACAATAATAGTTGTAGATTTCAATACCATCCTTTCAATCATAGATAGAACAGCTTGATAGAAAATCAGAAAGGAAGACTTGAATCAATGGGTCAAAGAAGAAGTCACAGGGCAAATTGTTAAATACCTTGAGGTGAATGAAAAAGAAAACATACCAAAACTTATGTGTTATTGTGAAAGCAGTGCTGGAGGGGAAATTTCTAGCTGTAAACATTGACATTTTAAAAAGTCTCAGATCAACAACCTAACCTTTCACATCAAAATATTAGATAGGGGCCCTGGGTGGCTCAGTCATTTAAGGGTCCAACTCTTGATTTCAGCTCAGGTCATGAGCTCAGGGTCAGAAGACTGAGCCCCGCATTGGGCACCATGCTGAGCGTGGAGTCTGCTTGAGATTCTGCCTCTCCTTCTCCCTCTGCGCTCTCTCTCTCTATCTCAAATAAATGAATAAAAGCTTTAAAAAAAATTAAAGAGTAAACTAAACCTACATCAAGCAGAAGAAAATAAAAATTGGAGCATAAATAATTGCAATAGAGAATATAAAAAATAGAGAAAAAACAAATCCAAAAATTTGATTCTTTTGACAAAACTGACAAACTGTTAGCAGACCAACCCAAGACAAAAAGAAAGAAGACGCAAATTACTAAATTCAAGAATGAAGGAGAGGACATTACACCAACTGTACAGGAATAAAAAGAATAAAGGAACGCTATGAAAAATTATATTACAATAAATTAGATAACCTGGATGAAATGGACAAATTCTTATACACAAACCACCAAAACTGACTCAAGAAGAAACAGAAAATCTGACTAGACCTACAAATAAACAGAGTGAATCAGGATTTAACAACTTCCCAGAAAGAAAATCCCAGGACCAGAAGTCCTCATTGGTGATTTCTACCAAATATTTAAAGAAAAATGAGCACCGGGTGGTATACTGAACTGATAAATCATTGAACATTGTATCAAAAACCAATGATATACTATACCTTGTCTAAGTGAATCTAAGGAAAAAGAAATAATGAAAAATCAAAGTCAACTCTTCTTAAACTCTTCCCAAAAATAGAGGAGAGAATACTTAAGTCATTCTGTGAAGCCAGTAGTACCTTATACTAAAGCCACCACAAGATAACTAAATAATAAGTTCACCATAGACCTTTAACCCTTATGGACAGAGACACAAAAATCCTCAACAAAACACTAGCAAATCAAATCCAGAAGCATACTAGGACTATAAAACATGGCAAAGTAAGATTCATTCCAGAAATGTAAGGGTAGCTCAATATAAGAAAAACCAATCACTAAAATACTAAAAACTAATAGAACAAAGGGAAATAAAGCACTTGATCATCTCACCTAGACTGTGAAGAATGAAATAAAACTGTCTCTAGTCAACGATGACATGACCTTACATACAGAAAACTCTAACAACCCAGACCTATCCCCCACCAAAAAAAAAAAAAAAAAAAAACAATGGGCCAAAATCCCAGAGACATAATATGCCCAGCAAAGCTGCTGGACACAAGATCCATATACAAAACTCAAAGTGATTTCATTATAACAGCCTCAAAAGAATAAAACTTTTACAGATCAGTTTAACAAAGGATGTGTAAAGATTTGTACACTAAAAGCCACAAAACAGTGTTGAAACTAGTAACGAGTCTAAGCGGAACGCCCCATTGTCACAGAAGACTCGCTACGGTTAAGATGGCAATATGACACAAATCAACCTACAGATTCTGTGCAATCTCTGCCAAAATTTCAACTGCCTTTTCTTTTTTACAGAAATGGATAAACTGATCCTAAAATTCAGATGGAATTACATGGGGGCCCAAAGAGCCAAAAGAACAGGAAAAATAAAATTAGAAGAGTCACACTACAAACCTAGAGTAATCAAACCTGTGTGATACTGGCATTAAGTGTGTGTGTGTGTGTGTATGTGTGTGAGATATATATACATATATATCAAGAATGTGTGTGTATGTGTGTGTGTGTGTACACACAGTAATGTCACAGTTTTGAGAGTTCAGAAAGAACCCACATATTTATGGTCAATGATTTTCAAGAGGGTGCCAAGACCATTCAATGGGGGAAAAGAATGGTCTTTTTGATAAACGTTGCTGGGACAACTGGATATCCACATGCAGAAGAATGAGGTTGGCCCTCTTCCTCACAGTATATACAAAATTACCACAAAACAGATCAATCTGGCCACAAATTTTCAGAGACGACACCAAAGGCATGAGCAACAAAAGAAAAAGGATAAATTAAACTTCATCGAAACTGAAAACCTCCGTGCATCTAAGTACATTTTCAAAAACTGAAAAGATAACCTACGAAATGGGAGAAAATATTTGTAAATAGTATCTGATGAAACTCTGGCATTCAGTATGTATAAAGACCTCCTCAGTCACCAGGGAAACACAAATAAAAACCACACTGAGGTTCTACTTCATCCCTACTAGAAGGGCTATAATCTTTTTTTTTTTAATTGGAAAATAAAGACATGAACATAAAGCCAGAACCAAAAAACCCTTAGGGAAAAAAACAGGAAAAAAATTGACATCAGACCTAACAACGATTTCTTGGATGTGATACCCAAAGTACAGGGAACAAAAGCAGAAACAGACAAGTGTGACTGTATCAAATCAAAAGGCTTCTGCACAGCAAAGCAAACAGTCAACAAAATGAAAAGGCAATGTATGGAATGAGAGAAAATATTTGCAGATCATATATCTGATAAGGGGTTCATATACAAAATACGTAAGGAAATCCTACAACTCTGTAGCAAAACAAGTAATCTGGTTAGAAAATGGGCAAAGGACTTAGCTAGTTCTTCAAAGAAATGGCCAACAGGTATATGAAAAGATGCGCTCATCATCACTAATCAGGAAAACGCAAATCAAAATGAGAGACCACCTCAGCTGTTAAGATGATTATTATTTAAAAACACACACACAAAAGGTAACATGCTGGTAAGGTTGTGGGGAAAAGGGAACCCTTGCACACTGTCGGAGGGAACATAAAATAGTACAGCCAGCATGGAAACAGAATGGTGCTTCCTCATAAAAGGACAAAAATAGGACTACCGCTGGATCGAGCAACACTACTTCTGGGCTTCTATCTGCAAGAAATGAAATCAGGATCTCAGGGGTCTGCACATCCATGTTCATCGCAACCTGATTCTCAATAGCTGTGAGAAAGCAGCCGTCAGCCGATGAATGAGCAAAGTGTGGTCTAGCCATACAACGGCGCAGCAGTCATAAAGAGAACGAAGCACCGATATGCAGGCTATACAGTGGGTGAGCCTCCAAGACATTCTGCTAAATGAACAACAAAACGTCACGTATTATATGATGCCATTTACACGAAATACCCAGAGTAGATAAATCAACTGATAAAGTACACTGGTGACTGTCTGGGGCAAGGGGAGAGGCGGAAGGAGGAAAAACGGCTTCCTGGGTAAGGGATTTTACTTTGGAGGGATGGAAATGTGTGGGGACCAGATAGACACGGTGGTTGCCCAACACTGTGAATGTGTTCAAACAGCCGATTTTAGGTTTTGTGAATTTTACTTCAGTACTTTTTTAAACAAAGAGGGATCGGTGGGGTGGGAAAGGAGATCATGTCCACGACTACAGGTTTAGTCCACCATCATTCAGTTTTAATAAAGTACAGCTGGAAGTTGAGACAATGGCAAGTCTTTCCCTTAAAGCGACCATGCCTGCTTCCTCCTTGGGAAGGCTTCTGGGGCACCAACGCGCGCCTCAGTGTGAAGACCACACCAGGGGGTGGGTTGATGAGAGGACCATGTGTGATGACCTACCGTCATTATACATACACTTTTTAATCCAGCTCATCAACAGTTTGGAGAGGATTTTAGGTCTATAATTTCCATTTGACTTTAAGCTGTAAAATTTAAAAGGAGGCTCTGTGTATCTATATTGTGGTGATACATTACTGAAACCATTATTTGAGCAATTCTCATAAAAGCAATGGTCACTTATGTATTAGTACATTTTTTTCCTTTTTTATTCTTTTTTTAAAATTT